AGTGTTGAGGTTGCATCAGAAGAAGTACTTTGAGGGGCTAGTTGAGAAGTATGGGCTGCAAGATGGAGGAAAGCCAGCAACCCCGCTGCCTTCAGGTTTCACTGTTGAGGCCTGTGTTGATAAAGTGATGGTGGGTGAGAGCGACAGGTAGCTGTTTCATTCCATGGTTGGGACACTCATTTTTGCGGCAAACCACACACGGCCTAACATTCCCTTTGAAACATCCAGACTTGCCAGCGTGGTCTCATGCCTTAGTTATGAGCAACTGGAAGCGGCCAAGAGGTTGGTCCATTATGTGAGTGATACAAATCAGTGGGCTTGGAGTACAGTGCAATGAGACAGAGGCTGCAGAGGGGTGCAGCTGATTTGAGCAAGGGAGAGATGCTCTTGACCTGCTATACCGACGCCAAGACAGTGAAGGCGGATGGCACCAGCATTGGAGGCTATGTGTGCCTGTTTGGATGTGGTGCAGTGAGCTGGCGCAGAATGAGGTGGAGCTGACTTCATGTGAGACAGAGTACATGGCTCTGCATCATGGGGCAAAAGAAGTAGTGTGGCTGAGGTGCTTGTTGGAGGAGATCAGAGTGTGCCGGAAGGAACCGATTGTCATATTCTGTGATAACGAGTCGATTGTGAAGCTTGCCAAGAATGCTTGTCTGCATGGGCTAACAAAGCATATCAGGCCTAAGTGGCACTGGGTGAAGACGCTTCTGGACAAGGAAGGGAGGCTGGAGATTGTGAAGACCTAAAAACAGGCGGCTGATATCTTCACAAAGCGCTTGGCTGAACTAGAGCATTGGAAGGGCATGAAACTTGCTGGGATGAGTGTGCATTGAGGGTGCATGCTTGAGCTATGGCGTATGTGATGATAGTTGGCAGCCAGAGGGGGAGTTTGTAAAGTGATACTATCATTTGCTATCATTTGCATTCACGTTTGTTATGCGTGCATGAATGATATTTTGCTTGAGCAAATATCTGAAATGACTTCTCTGCTCGAGAGTTTTTCGATGAACAAAGAATCGTCGATATCAGAAAATAGTGAAGTTTCAACGTTGCAATTTTCGTCGACGACGATTCTTGTCAAGTCGACGTTAGGGATGAGCAAGGGGACGAACACCTGTTCGGTTCGCCTCGAACGCGTTCGAGGCGAACCGAACAGGTTTATTTTTTTGGCTTAAATGGTTCGCTGAACAGTGTTCGAGGTTCGCCCGAACATGTTCGTGTTCGGGCCGCGGCTGCAATTTGCCCCGCAACGAACACGAACGTGTTCGAGGTTCGCCCGAACACGCCTTCATAGGCGAACGGCGAACACTTGTGTCGGCGGAAATCGTTCGCCGAACCGAACAGTGTTCGGTTCGGCTGTTTGAGCTGTTCGACAGAGGACGAACTCGAACCTGTTCGAGTTCGGCCTCTGCTCATCCCTAGTCGACGTTTCTCTCCAGAATTATAGTCCAATTATGAGACCAGCCCCAGAACGTACTTCTTTACCCCCACTAGACTAGGTGGATGATTTGATAACGAGACCATGTGTGTGAAGTGATGTAGGGAGGAGTTGGTAAGTCGAGGGAAAATCTGAAAACAAAACAGATCGAGGATTAGTTGGCAGACTTGTAATGGGGGGACAATGTAGAGTACTTACCAAATTCAGCATCTCCAATCTGTGTGCCCATGTTGTGCAACAAACATGGTAACCCTAAACTGATATATCAAAACAATGGTTTGACCCCCCTTCATACACGAACGTTTCTGCTTATAAACAATCGTCTATGGAATGCAAATAAAATTTGAATCTACAGTACCCGAGCACGTCTTTCCGTTGTACTCATAAAACTTCGCGACTGTTCCTGGCTGAGCTCCATTGAAGAAGCTGAAAGCACCCGCGCATGTTATAGACGGTGACACTGCCTTGATCCTTCCCATCTTACAACTGTGAGCACTGAAGGACTCGTAGTCTGCTTGAAGGCACACCTGAAATAGGAGGTACGTGCACACAGTGCGATCAGAAGTGCTAAAAGAAATGATCCTGTACTAGATAGTCGTTCTGGTCTCCCACCCCTTACGTGCACACTGGTGATGCTGGAAATAGTGGAGCTGGAAGAAGAGATGGCGCGAGGGCAGATGAGGCCAGGATTGTTGCGGAATAGCTCAATCCACAGACCAGAACCCACGGACGCGTCTCTACTCAAAGGGCCGGGACTGGCTGAATCCACCACTTGCATGCCCTGCAGCAGCAGTCCCTCGCACGTGTCCTCTGCTGTGAGCATGCCATACTGCGAGCACTTGGGGGTGGTGAAGGCGAAGGTGGCGTTGCGCTCGAGGCACAGAGAACGGCCTGCCTTGATTGGCTTAGAGCAGTCCAGGCCGGGGTTGAGAGAGGCAAGGTCAGTGGATGCGAGTCCAAGCTGGACGCTGATGGAGGAGCAGGTGTCACCCTGGAGTATTGAGTGAGGGGAGAGAGGGCAAGAGATAAAATGGGTATGATTTATGATGTGGTGTCACCAACTACATACAAAACATATGTATGCAGTGGCAGTTTCTAAGGTGCAGCAAAGAAAGGAAGGCAGGTAGGGCAGGGAGGCGCAAAGAAGTCCAGGACCTAGAAGGGAGGTCTGGATTCCGATGGTGGTGCAGTTGCTGAGTGGACAATCAGCAATCATAATGTATAAAAGGATTGTATGTGGGGATTATGTTGGGGGCACCAGATGGGTGGTGGACGGTTCTTCTTTGTTGCTTCAGGTTAAACAAAAATAGGGTAAACAAGTAAACAGTACAATTCACGTTTCCCTCCGTGTCTTGCTAGGAACCCTAGACTCACATTGAGCACATAGTAGAAGGCAGTGCACGGGGTGGTGGAAGTGCTCCCTATCTGAATGACCTTGCCCTGAGGCAAAGGCTGGGTGCAATTAACGCCCTGGAACACAATGGGGGGGTGATTTGTTGGATATGAATTCTGTTACCATCCATTGGAAGAAGGCATCGGTCTTAGGACAACGCATCAAATCCCCATGCATACCCTCCTAGCCCTTGCCCGCGAGTCACCCACCCGATCATTGAGCCCCCTCACCATGCTTTCCACTGGGACACTAGCCACTGGCAGGCCGACAGCAGGAAAGACATCGGAGCACCACCAGTTGGCACCAGTGACAGTCAAGGTGGGGGCTGTGGTGTTGACTGCAGGGAGGAAAGAGGGAGCCACGTACGGAAAACAAGTTACAGAGGGAGAGAAGATGAGGTTATGATGATGTTATGCTGGATGAAAATGTACGGAGCTGTTTCTGGAGGCTGCCAATGGACAGATCAGAATGCATGCATACCACTGATCAGTCAAGAGGGTTTTACGACTGAGTGCGGCAAGAAAAGCAGCACCTGGATCGCAGGTGGGGTAGTTGTCAACGGTTCTGCTTTCAACGTAGTTGGGAGGGCAGATGCAGGAGTAGGCGCCCTTGCCATCGTTGATGCATGTGCCCACAGCACAGGGGTTGATAAGGTAAGAACTGCACATGTCAACTGTTGGGTTAAGAGTGGGGTAGAAATGGGCAGTGACGGTTTAGCAAGTGATATGCAAAGCTTAACATGCAAGTGATATGCTCACAATGGAAACGGTTTAGCATCACAAACATGCCAGGAGACATCTGCGCCTGAGTAAACCTCCATAGTTGCTGTACAGAAATAAGTATATTGTGGGTCGAAGACACATTTTTGGCTTAAGCATGTCTCACCATATGCACATGTGTTGGAGCCAAATCCATTGGCCACCTCAACAAAAGGTTGGTTGGTCTCGTTAGGTATGGTGCAGTTGCAGGTGTTGCCCTTGGTTTTTGTGTTTGCCTGGCATGTGAAACGACCACACGGGTTCATGCTCGGCTGCAAATCTCCATCCCTCTTGAAGCTCCTTTGGCCACAGGGGTCCTTGGAAACTAGAGGGTAGGTGGAAGGGGCAGGAGAGATAGTGTGACTCAAAGTACAGCAAAGGAATGAGCTCTTGAAAAATTTGTACAGGTTTGTTTGCAAAGTGTTTGTGGTGTCTCGCATAGGGTCGAGCTTAGTCTGAACAATGGGTTAGATGCCTCACTCTTGACTATGGCGTAGGTAAGTCACTCTTGACTATGGCGTAGGTAACTCACACTTGACAATGGGGTAGATGCCAGGCAGCACGTTGATGCCACACACGCCATCCCCTCCCTGAATGTCCATGCGCATGTGACCCCGAT